ATGCCTGATACAGCTGGTACTTAACGAGCACATGGGTCAAATCGAAAAACCTGATCAAAGAAAAGGCCCTCATTTTTCAGACATGCCTACTTGAGTACATAGGGTAAAATGACATGTTTTCTGGGATTTGCTGTCAAATACTTCAACAAAGGACAAATAAAAGAAAAAAGGTCTGAATAAAGGAAATATGGAAAAGTTTGTGAAGTCCTTAATCTGGGTGATGGGCTTATTGTACTATACGTATTGATGTATACTTAAGGTATTTTATAATTTTACTATCATTAGCTGAATAGCAAGTATTAATACGTATTAATTGAAATCCTTTGAACTGACCAAACTTAACCCACACAGAAACCTTAATGTCCTAGTAGTCTGTCTTACAGAAATCTTTTCCCACAAAGACAGGAAAAAAGGGAAAGACAGATCCCTGCATTATTTCCACGTTGTCAAAAGACCAAACGCCGACACAAAAGAAGAGATTGTAGAAAAGATAAAGAGGCTGAAATCAATGTCCTGAAAACCTAGCTAAGATTCCTAAATGGCCCAACTTAACTAACCTCAGCACTGCCGCATCAAGAATGTGGCAAATAGCACCTAAGTGGATTTTTTTTTTAAATAAATAATGATCCAGTTCCAAGCACAGGCAATTATGATAAGACTGAATATATGTTCTAAAACCAAATAGTGTACAAATCATAATTTCTACTTGATTCAAACTGCTGCTTCTATAAAATTTGAATTTTCTTATACTTAAGACAGATTTGTGGCATATGACCTAGGGATAAAATTTTCAACTCGCTTGTATTCAAAAAGTTCAACAATGTGAGAGTTTATTACATCAACTATTGCTTTTTGGGAAACCCATGTGCCTTGTCACTCTCTTTCATGAGATTTCCTGTGGAAATTTCAATCCCTCATTCAGGAAAAGTCTGGGCAAAATATCTGATGGAAAACTTTCATATACTGCAACACAAGAAAATGAAAATGACTGTGAGCAGCCCGTGAAGCCGGCAGACACACACAGCTCATGGCTGTGTTCCCGCCTCGATTTTCTGCAACCAGCAGGGAAAATGTGCATTTCAAGAAATAAACATAAACACTTTTCAGGACCTGATCACACAATTTCCCTTTCAGGGTTTAGTGGGCTTCCATTTAATTCTATGAGAAATATTTAAAACAACAGAACAACAGCTGAGATAGGTTTTAAAGTAGCTTTTATGTCTTAGTGAAAATAAAGCCAGCTGTTAGTTATCATTTTTACTTTATTTGATCTCAGTCTGTTACTTTACCTCCCCAACCTCCTCCACAAAATGATGCTGAACGTCCTCTCCTGGATCAGAAGTCTAAGTAGAAAATACCAATCAAATGGAGGTGTGCTTTGTTGTTTTATTTTTCAAAAGAAACATGTTTCATTCATGTTATTTAATAATTAAGATCAAGAAACAAACTCTATTCAATAAATGATAGCCAACACATGTCATCATAGCTACTCATTAGTTTTGACCCCACGTTACACACTTTTACATGGACATGTGCCATGTGCTGTCATGGGACACGGTGAGTGGGGACAAGGCCTCTGCTCTCACAGGGAACACAGCCTGGTGGGGGAGGCAGTGTTCAATCATTGCCCTTTTTCTTTTTAATGTACTTACAAATTATGGGAAATGCTATTTAAAAACAACAAAATGAGTCAATGAAAGTGAAAAATACAGGACTGTATTTAGGCTGAGGGAAGACAGGGAACCTCTCTGAAGAGCTGACACTCCACTGAGACCAAAAGGACAACTCCGGTGCTGCAGGTGAAAGGCAGGGACACGCTGATAAAAGGCTGATATCCGGAAGATACCAAAATCTCTTTAAACTCAACAAGAAGGATGAATAACCTGATTAAAAAAATGAGCAAAATGTCTGAACACACACCTCATCAAAGAAGGAATCTAGATGCCAGAGAAGTCTATGGAAAGATGCTCCACAGCATCTGTCATCAAGGGGATGCAGACTGAAACAGCGAGGTACCACTGCACACCTGTCAGAACTGCCAAAACGCAGAACACTGATAGCACCGAATGTTGGTGAGGATGTGAAGCGACAGGAATTCTCATGCATTGTTGGTGGGAATGTAAAATGGCCCAGATACTTTGGAAGATGGTCTGGCAAGTTTTTACAAAACTAAACGTACTCCTAACATATGATCCGGCAACTGTGCTCCATGGTGTTTACTCGACAAAATGGAAACTTATGTCCACACACAAATCTACATACAGATGTTAATAGCAGCTTTATTCATAATCACCAGAACTCAGAAGCAACTAAGCTGTTCTTCAGTAGGTGAATGTATAAATAAACTGTGGTCCAGCCAGAAAATGGACTATTATTTGCTGCCAAAATGAAATGAGTTATCAAGGCATGGAAAGACATGGAGGAACCTTAAATGCATATTACTAAGTGAAAGAAGTCAATCTGGGAAGGTTCTGCAACTGTCTGATTCCAACTGTATGGTGTTCTGGAAAAGGCAAAACCACAGAGACTAAAAGATCAGTGGCTGCCACAAGTTAGAGGGGAAGGAGCAATGAATGAGTTGCAGCACGGAGCATTTTTAGGGTCACTAAGACAGATTACTCTGTATGATGCTGTGATGGTGGATACGTGTCATTGTACATCTGTCCAAAGCCACAGAGTGCACACCACCAAGTGTAAATCCTAGTGTCAACTATGGGCTCTGGTGATGATGACGCGTCAGTGTAGGTTCACCCACTGTCGCAAATGCACGCTCTGGTGCAGGCGTCAATAGTGAGGAGGCTGTGGGGACAAACTGCAGTTCACACACCCAATCTGACCACAGCCACCGCTGTGAATAAAGCTCTGTGGGTGTGTGGATTGTCCGGCTGCTCTGGCGTCTGAACAGCAGAGCTGAGCAGCTGCACCAGAGATCAGGAGGTTTGCAGACCCTGAAATATTTACTCCCAAGCCCTTGACAGAAAAAGTGTGCTGAGCCCTGTTCTACACGAATCAGAATTCACCCTGATGAGACAGGACAGCAGGGCCCAAACCAGCATGGTTAATGAGACTGAAGCAATGTTTTATTTCCAACACCTTTGTTGAAGTCCTGCAGGTCCAGCGACAGACTGTAGCCAGGAAGCGTCTGCAGAAGGAGTCGGTAGCAGGCCTCCCCGCCAGGCTCCGGGATGCCAGGGGACGCGCGCTGCACGGGGGCCACCCGCTTGAAGAGGGCGGACTTGCAGTGGAAGCCGATCAACTCACAGAGCTCAGAGAGGATGCTGCACTGCTGAATTCTCTCCTCGGAATGCTGAAGCACAGGGAGAAAAGCAACAAACATCTGAACGAAACATGTAAGTGAAAAAAGATACATAAAAAATGGTTTCCCATAAAACAGAGACCCGATGATACGGGAAGGAAGAGGAAGGCTTACTTAGTGCACTGATGGGACTGGATGCAGAAACGCAGGGAAGCAGCGCTGTGCAGACGCTCCAGACCCCCTCTGGGCCCCACCTCACCGCGTTCAGCCTGTCCTATTACTAGAAAGGCCCGTATTCCCTGAAACAGAGGAATCTGCTACCTACATATGAGACACACAGAAGGGAAAGAGGAAAAGGAAGGGAAAGTAAAGAAATAACAGTTCATCTAGACCCTAGGGTTTTGGCGGGACTTTCACCAAACACACAACTTCTCAAAGCACAGAGCACACAATGAGAGGTTGACAGAATGACTGCGACTTCTGCTCCTTAAGCACCAGCTACCTGCCAGCACATCCTGCACCCATTACTGAATCATTACAATCATCTCAGAAACTATTACTACCCCGGCTCACAGGCAAGGAAATCTGAAACTCGGGGAGGATTTGTTATCATCCTGGACAAAGTCCCACGGCCCAGAAGTGTCAGAGCAGCCGGCAGACCCTGGACTAAAATGCTCCTCATCACCACGGGCCCTGAGCCTCAGTCTGAGGCCACGTCAGGGCTGCACAGGCCCAGAGCATGAGTCTGTGGGACAGGGAATGCTCCCACTAGAAGTGCCAGGCCAAGTCCCTCAGGAACTATGAAATGAAACCAAATCCCCAAACTCATTTCCAACCCACTGCCCTGTCCGGGAGGACTGCTCAGCACATCTGCACTGTCACCTGTGCACAGGCTAAGCAAGGGGCCCAGTGACGTGACGTCCCAGTGGAAGTGGCTTGGAGTCCACTTCATCACAGGACAGACTCTCTTGGCTTCCAACGTTAACTCTCCATTCCATTTCTAACTGTAAAGTAAGTTTTCACTTGTTTTCGTCTCCTAGAAACAAAGAGAGTGGTAAAATCAGCAGGAAACTCAAGACAGCGGAAGAGTCTCCTGGCCATCTGGAAGGATAGGCCGCGGAGGGAACAGAGACAGAGATCAGAAAGACCCATGTTCCAGTCCAAAGTCTGCACGTCACTCGATTTGGCAGCTTCCTTATTAATACAGGTGATAAAATCTAATTATGATTGTTGGGAAAAGTAAGTGAAATAAAGTATGCCACTAGCATAGGTCTAAAATCCTCCATGAGTGTTCCAGAAATGGAAGTGATCATGGTTAGTTACTGTCTGCCAAGTCTTGGGTGCTAAGCCCACATCAGCCAGCCAGAGATGTGCCAGAGAATGTCTCACCAGCCAGCAGCCTTGTCCAACTTGGAAACTCACAGTGTCTGAAGAACAGGCAATGGTGGATGATTTGGGACACTCTGGAGGTAGCACTCCAGTGATGACTTTAAAAAGCTGGGGAGAATTTAGGGGACCATACAGTTCAAATACAGAAAACACATTCCATGTCTACCCAGATTGATCTCTAGCCATGATGATTCAGAGAGAAAATACATATTCAAACTTACACCAATTTCCCACATAAGTGCATCAAAACAATTTGGAAAGAATGTAACTTTCTTCTCTAGATCACAAAGCGGGGATTACAAGGTTTGTTCTAAGAACCCTACTTGTAAAACATCTGCTAACATAACTGGGTCAACTATCAGTCATCATCATTTGAAGAGAAGGATGGAAAAGAACAAAGCCAAGCTAATACGCTCGTGTCTTTTGTAGGGTTACGATGTCACAGAGGAGACGGACAGGTCAACAAGGAACCACTCTGCCGTGATCACGGAGCCAGGGAACGGGATAGGCAGCAAGATGTATGATGCAGACCACAGCCATGCCCGCGCTTCTAGGCAGGTACCCAAAGTCACCTCAACAAAGTGTCAAACGCTTGTGCCCACGTCCTCATCATCTGACATGTATTTAAGAGAAATGAAAACCTATTAACGGCCAATACCCTTGGTGGGTACACCGTCCAAAGAGCAAAGTCACAATTTGACAACTGGCCATCTCGGTTCCCTGGGATTCATTCTTGGAGAACCTTAAAATCCACTCCTATGTCCTCAAGAAGTGCTGCCTACTTGTCCTATCATTGGCTCAGGGATACAGCACATTCACGTGGACTTTAATGTCTGCACAGATTTGACTGTCTTTCTCCAGGTTCACTTCTCAATTCTGAAGAGGCCTGAGTTAAGTCCATCCTCAGTAAGATCAATTCCCTCCCGTGATAACTCATTGAACCTGCAATTAAAAGCCAACTGAACAGGACTGTCCTCAGCTAAAAATGTCACCCACCCTTCACTGCTTTCTTAATCTCCTCTCCTGGCTAATTGCAACAGACAAACACCTCCCTCCACCAAGTTCCCCAACTATGTCAGTTTGTCTTCCCAAAGAGAAAGTAAGGTCCATAAAAGAGGAGACAACTCCATAGTCACTTCTGAATTCCTAGCATATAGTAATGTCAATAAATAGAACTATAATTATGGCTTATTTCCTTTAAAATCTTTCTGGTTATTTAAATGAAACCTTGGAAGAGAGGTGTTTGGGTCCAGTATCTTGATCCAGAAGACTCTGGAGGCCTTTTTCGGAATGGCTGTTCACTGATCCATTCAAAACACAACTTCTCATTCC